TGATTCAAATGAAGGATATTGGCAGTACCACAATCGCGCTCTGCCCTTGGAGCTGCCTGGCTACTGTTTTCATGCCTTCTTGACTGATAGCATGACTGAAATATTAATGGGGATGATATAACGCTCTAACGTTGTTCACGTCTCACAGCCGGAATACTGCCGACTGCTTCGCTCCTGACAAAGCGCTGATACACCGCTGGATCGAGTAGGATGGTCCTTGTGGCGAGGCTCTCAAAGTGGAAGATACCAAATCAGCTTCAACCCAATGGTGGTGTTTAGGAGAGCATTTATCTATGAGTATATATATATATAGGCTGGCTGACAGATATGAAGTTATTCCTTCGGTGGTAATAAACAACAACAATAATAATAATTGTTACCCTTTGTCATACCACTTATGGGTGAAGTCTTTCCATACTAGATAAGTCGTGGAGATGGTTTGACCATACTCCATCATGCTGGTCAACGTGGGTTGATGACGAGAAGGCTCAAGGCCAGTTTGCTTGATGGTAACTATGACTGAGAATCAAACTAAAGTGGTCTGATTCATATTGCAATGGCCAAACCATTGTGCCACCGTTACACTCGTATGCCTAAGTTAACAGGGAAAAAAAAACTATACCTTTTTTTACTGTGAATAAAATGAGAAAATAACATTGCCACTTTGGTCAACTCATCGTCTTGAAATTACGGAATGTACAAATCTAAAGTCTTAGGTATAATGGAGAGAAGGGTTTTACTAGTTGGGCGATCTCAGAATGGGTAGCAGGTGGCAATCCTAATCAAATGCCATTTTCCATATTTCGTGTGTTTAGGTCTGTTGTAGACAAAAAACGGCCTGCAATGAAGCATGTCCTCTATTCCGACATGTGTAAAGAAGCTCATTCGCAGGGTACATTTTCATGATGATTTATTTCACGATAACATATTTACAGGCGAGAGTACGACTCACACGTTTCACAAGGCTATAACTACCGCAGTCCTGGTGGTTTCTAATAGAGTAATATCGAACAGTCTTTCTTGATGGTTTCCACCATGTAGATCTCCAACAGTCGGCCCCGATGTCGTCCACCTGCAGTTGTTCTTCAGTCCCCAAGGAATCAACCCATTTGCGGGCCTCGCTCCCCCTTATATACCCCTACGGCCATGCCCTGGTAACTTCCAGCACTTGCCCCCGGTAGATTCTATCAGCAAACTCTATCGTCATCTACTTCCCTTCTCTTCGATGGCAAAGGTTATAGTGGTGTCAGTGTTGATGGGTGGAGACAGGTACAGGGTACTTTACGGGGGAAGGCTCGTAAAAGTCGTACTCCTGCGTTGTAAATACTTTATTGTGAAATAAATCATCAAGAAATTGGAAGCCTGCAAAGGAGCTTCTTTACACATGTGAGTGTAAGCCTGAGTACAATCTCACGTGTTGTTGCTGTAGAGTATTTTCATTTTACCAGTGGGTCAATGAGGGAAGGGAATGGTGATTAAGGTAGTGAGTGATAGGATGGGTGGGTCATTCTTGAGAGCATGAAAAAGTGCGTGAGTGAGGTTGACACAGTGAATGATCAGGTGATTGTGTGAATGATCAGGTAAATATATGACTCATGAGGAGGGAGAGGGAGCATTTATGTAAGTCATAGAGTAAGGGAAGTGGGTGAGTTCATAATGGAGTGAGTGAGTACCAGTTTATTTAGTTGAACAAGGCGAGAACTAAAGCGACCAGGATGAGTCTCATTTGCAAGAGAGACCTGGATCACCCAAATGACCAAAGCTAAATAAAAACACAGAGTTACAGTAATGAAAGCAAATATAGATAATACAAAACAACTGATGCGTCACATGGGAAATCGACGTAATGGAGTTAAGGGATGATAGAATATGTGAGTAAGGTGCGACACGGGTGTCCTCTGGCCCTTTCACGACTTAACATTTTTTTTAACTACGTAGTTTGAGACGATTTCCATGGATGTACCAGTAGAATTTATATCTGGTATAGATATAATGGGAGGCTGATCGATGCCCCAGTCCGGTCATGGTATGGCTCTCTATTGTTAAACCATATTATGAATGCGGATGATCTGGTGATTACTTCCCACTCTAAGGAGAAGTTGGAGACACTACAACTCAACATGGAGCATGCTCCTAAATTATGGGCCGTTACCATCAGCCTCACGAAAACAAATCACCTCCCTGGGTATTTTACATCATGAAAATGCTCCCCTCCCTCAATTCCCCATGTATTTTGGGGCAGTTGTGGAGAGAGTGGAGATATTTCCGTACTTGGGCAGTGTGCTGATGACCAACTCTGTTTCAGTAGCCGAGGTCTCACTTCGAATCATTCGAGTGGCATTATATTTTCATCAGCTGCTGAACACTGTGTGGAAGCTACCTGGCATGTCACTCCATACAAACCTTCATGTCTTCTGGACCGCAGTTATGCCCTCCCGTATCTCTCTCGAAAGGAACATCTGCGCTGGTTTGAAACATTTTGGTTAGCCCACGATCTATCCAGGGTTTAACCAGACTGGACTTTGTGAGGAGCTCAGATTCCTGGAATATCTGGACAAATGCCCATCTGTGGGCTCCTCCAGCAAGCGAGGCTGCGTTGGTTGTGTCATGCAGTCCGTATGCACAGCCACGGCATCCCCAAGCAGCTTCAATTTGGCTGGATAGATGGTGCTAAATGGGCGTGGTACGGGCTAGAGAAGAGATGGACTGATGTGGTACAGAAGGATGTGGAGCTGATTGGACTTATTGATGACTGGTATCAGCAGTGTCACGATCGGCTTCTGTGAAGGAGGTTCATGAAAAGCGCTGCTGGGGAGCTGGAGGCAGTCGCCCTCCAGCAACAGCATAGGGCAGAGGAGCGAGGCTCAAAACAACGAGCAGAGCGCCAAACAACTGACACCAATAAAGTTGGCACAGTGGGGAGCACGGCCGTTGCATCTGCCGATCATCTTCCTAAGTCAATCCATGGCACCTGCGTCTATTACATGCCCTCCTGCCAGCCAGCCTTCGACACTTCACGTGGCCTCAAAAAGCATCGAGCATGGCACAAGTGCTGTGGTGATGTCACCGCCACTTAGGGGTGAACGACGGTTGTTGCGTTGTTGTTGTGCGTGTGTGCACGGACGCATGTACGCCTGTGAGTCTCGTGTATGGAGAGAGAAAGAGAGGCAGCCGTGCGTTGTGCTGGCCCGTGTGCCATTCTGAGCTTCATAGGCGCTGCTCACTAACAGCGCTTGCCCCAACATTCTGGTAAGGCTATACGGCGAATGATTGTCGCTGTTGTGTGTGTGTATGGACGTTCACCCCCCTCCCACCGCCCCCGTGTGTGCAGTTTTAGGGACTCATTACGCCCCCTCCCGACAAGCAGGCCAGCATCCGAACTAAAGGTAAGTGACAATAAAAATATTTTTTTTCCATTTAAGTAACTTTATGTTTTGCTCACAATACAGTATTTATTACATTGTTGCATGCAAATGTACGATATTTTGTCTTACATATGACTTTGACAATGTTTCCATGTTTTGCTGAACCGTGATAACATCTTAAAAAACTTACAGTATGTGGATTTAAATACAGTACACTATTGTATTCAGACTTATGAACCGTTCGACTTACGGACAGTTCTCAGGAATGGAACCGATAAGTTGTCTTATTCGCTTACAGCACCTTCCATTGGTATGGTTGACTACATACGATGGCAAAGAAAGTTAAATATATATACATATATATAGTACAGCACTTTCCCCAATAGTATGTTGATGTTCTATGGGGTGGTATGTTTGTCTTTCTGAGTAATGTTTTAATTGGGGCGGTGTCATTTTCACAATTTCCCCAATGTTTTTACATTGGCCGACTTGCGCGTCAGCAATTTTCGCACCCAATGGATAAATCTCTTCTTCTTCTTCTTGGGCTTGGTGGCGGTGGTGGCAGAAGTGGTGGTGGAAGCTGTGGCAGCGGCGGTGGAAGGGGCATCGGTGGCATCATGGTACATTTGAGACACGGCGCATTTCAATTCTTTCAGCTGGCTACTGAGATGAAGGTTCTCTTCATGCAGCCTCTTTTCCCCATGCCACATGTCCTCGTGACGCACCAGCTTCCCGCGTAGCCTAAACTGTTCCTGGCCTCTCTGCGGATCCAGGAAGTTCAACTCCGTCAGGTGGGCGTGCAGCGACCTCCGGAGATCTTTGTTTTCACAGCGCAGCGACATTTGCCGCTGTGCTGCATTGCAGTCTCGGAGAAAATCCGCATGGAGAGACTTGCTCTCCCTGCAAGGCACTCTCGTGGACTCCAGCTCCAACTGGCACTCTTTAAGCTGTTGAACCAGGCTCCTGTTCTCTCTCTGGAGAGTCTCTCGGTTCTCCATCAACTCCTCCTGCTGCTGCTGTAGCTCCAGACGGAGCATCTTGTTCTTCTGACAGAGCTCCACATTCTGCAGGCTCATCCTCTCCGTTTGCAGCGTCATGGTCTCGCGGTAAAAGTCTGAGATGGAAAGCGTAAAACGACGATAAATGAAGATCTCCATCCCAAGCATGGCCAAGACCAGAACGCCAACGATCAGCAGCACCATGCTCAGCTCGTGTTGACGGCACGCGGGACGGAAGGAAGTGTGAGACACGTCACGAAGGGGCGTGATATTTATACCAACGTCAATGCCGGATGTGACGTACGCTATGACGTAACAGCCATCACTGCCCACTTATTGTCAATCATTGCTCACCACGTGACTCCACGGCCCCGCCCCTAACCCTGCAGCTCCTCCCCCATACTCTTCTTCCGCCTTCCCCACGTGACGCGAAGCGAGCCAATCACGCGAGAGGCGGCGCGCGGTCGGCTCCGCGTCCGCTTCCCGCCATTCTTGCAATGGGCGGCGGGGCCGCTCAGGGTGGGGCGCGGGGCGCGGGGGCGAGTTCACTCCACGTCGCGAGCGGGAGGAGGAGGGACTAGGGGGAGGGGCCAGGAGGGACGAGGGGGAGGGGCCAGGAGGGACGAGGGGCCAGGAGAGACGAGGGGGAGGGGCCAGGAGGGACGAGGGGGAGGGGCCAGGAGCGGGAGGGGGGGAGCCGTGGCGCCGCTCTTGGGCCGCGAGGCCTCCCCCTGGGCCTGCGGCGCCACGCGGAGACCGCGACAGCAGCAGCAGCAGGAGGTGGTGGTGGTGGTGTTTGTGTTTGTAGGCACGGGAGAGGTGGTGGTGGTGTTTGTGGTTGTAGGCACGGGAGAGGTGGTGGTGGTGTTTGTGGTTGTAGGCACGGGAGAGGTGGTGGTGGTGTTTGTGGTTGTAGGCACGGGAGAGGTGGTGGTGGTGGTGGTTGTGGTTGTAGGCACGGGAGAGGTGGTCACGGACAGGCGGTGAGTGCCGGGTGATGGAGGGGGGGGGGGAGTGGATTGCAGCGTGAGTGAGTTAATGAGGAGAATTAATAGGTGAGGAGGGTGAGTGAGTTGAAGGGTGAGGTGAGTGAGTGGGTGAGTGGTGAGTTCACGACAGGGAGATTGGGGCTGAGTGAGTGAACGCAGCGCACGGTAAAGATCCCCTGAGAGCATTCGCAAGAGTTGGACATTGAGTGCCGCTGTCAGGGTCCACACGTAAATTACTCACTTGGCATGATATACAAATTAACCATTGTAAACGATAACTTTAAAAAGTCCGCTATTTGTCAGAGCTAATGCGATGTGCCTTCAGCATATTTGTAGCACGTTATAACCAACGTCAACATCGTCATTTAGAGTAACCATTAGTCCATACGTGTCACTTGCTAATAGTCCCCGGGTCAATCACAACTTTGCCGTGCGTGCAGGCTTTGTCTCTGGCTGCTCGCTAGGGCTGCGATGCCTTTCCATGCCACAAGATGACGTTCATTGCTCCTTCCACACCGCGACAATATTTACTGCAGTGTTCTATAACGCGGTAGTTGCGTTGCTGAATAACACCGCGTTGTGTAAACTCCCTCGTTACAATGACTAATACAGGGTAAAGCACAGTCCGTGATAACAGCGTGAGATGCGTGTGTCGGCTGAACAAAGACTGAGGCGCGTGGGGAGCATCAGGAAGCATCCAGCAGCATCCCAATGCCTTGTGTGACGCTGTGCCCAGGCAGCCGTACAACCGCACATTCCTACTCGCGCGACGTGGTTCTGTTGACTCAATCGCGTTATATCCACTTAGCATCCGTGTCATAAAACGTGTTCCCTAATACATTCATCGTGCTATATCCAATTGGCGTTATGAAAACACGCGTTGAGGCAGAACGAACTCTATAAACTATTTTTATTTTACCAGGTGAGACCCACTGAGCTATGTGGCTGTTTTCCAGAAGCGACCTGTCCACAAATGATAGATCAGCTAAATGGCTAATCACGTTAGAAATGTGTAGCACCAGCCACAAATACTCTAGACATGGATCCCCTTTGACAGGGTCAGTGTCTACTTAGATTCACTCACTCCGCCTATTGTCATGCGGCGTGTGCAGCTGCGTCGTGACACTTGGTAGAGTGCTGTCTTTGAGGCAGAGAGCTTTACAACCGTGTGCAGTGGTTAATTTGCTTAACAGCTTTACACCGAACTCCTTGCTTGTGGTAAAACATGTTTGCGACTTTGCTGATCGAGAACTATGCAGATTTAGATTTATAGTAACATGTACTTGGTGTGAGATGAACTTCCAAATAATTTCCTTTGCTCAACATCTTGCAATTAATGTCTTTTTAAATGGTCAGCTTAAGTGATTCCGTGATGTTTATGTAACTTTACCATTAAGATAACCTATGGAGCACAATTATTTCAGTATTATTTTTCATAAGTAAACTTTAAACTGAACCCATATGTGATATTATATTGATTGATTATTTTATTTTTTAATGTAGTCTACATGCTCTTCTGGGGATATTACCCCACATTTACCATTCATTGATGTTCCCTTTGACATTGGTAATAGGCATTGTCACACCATAGTAATTCATGGGCAATTATGTAATTCGCTCTGTCTATCTCTCTCTGCATCTGTCTGTGTGGGTGTCTCTCTCTGCCGGTGTGTTTTTCTTTGTATGCGTCTTTCGTGTGTCTCTTTGTGTATGCCTCTCTCTGTGTGTGGATGTCTCTCGGTGTCTGTGTCTCTCTTTCCTTTTCCACGATGTGGTGTTGTATTTACATGCAAATTCTACCTCTAGCCCCGCCCACTTACTCTTGGGCTGAGCTTATCTCAAGCCAATATAACTTCGTGTTTCAGCAGCTTTCTCGCTATATTTTTTTACCTGATGATGGTTGCTTGTGTTGCGATCGAAACGTCGTGATCTATTATTTTTTCTACCTACGTGACTTTACCGAAAGAACCAAAGAGTATTGTGATTGTAATTTTGATTGTGATTGTTGTGGTGGAGGTGGTGATATTGATGGTGGTGTTAACGATAGCGGTGATTTTGGTGGTTGTAATGGTGGTATTGATGGTGGTAATGGTGGTTGACTATTACCCCTCTCGTGTCCTTCCACCACCAGGTTTAAGAATCTGCTGGTGTCTGTGCTGGAGGTGGACGTCGGATATCTGTGCAGTCTGGAGTGGTGGACAATAGACTTCTGCAGCTCAACCAGGTGGACGCACTGGGCAGGGAGCAAGATGGTGGTGGCCTTAGAGACCCACTTACTCCCACAGAGAGCCATAGACTCACTCACAGAGTGCACTCACACAGAGAGCCAAAGTCTCACTGACACAGAGCCATAGGCTCACTCACATGGAGACACATAGACTCACTCACACAGAGAACCATTGATTAACTCATTGTTTTTTTCGGTAAAGTCACATATGTAGAAATACCATAAAATTATATTAAAATAAATCAAGCACGACGTTTCGACCGCAACACAAGCGATCTTCATCAGGTGTAAAAACAAATAGCACATAAGGTGACATCAACGCAACACATAGAGAGTGTTAAACTGCACGGAGGTAAATACAACAAGAAGATGAGAGACGAGAATTCAAAAAACCTAAGAAAATTTTACGTGATGCAATACCAGTCGGCCAACGACACAGTTAGACACTTGCCTGGCAGACCACGAATTTCAGAAGAGTGCTAAATTTCGTGTTCATCCTCTGGGTTGAACATACCAGCATAGACAGAGTGAACAAATACGAGGTATAAGATAGCAGAAATACATATACAGGGACACAAGAGGTAAGAAGAGGAAAGACGGACAGAGAAGCAAGAAAAAAGGAGCCGGATGGATGAACAGACAGAGGCTTAAAATAAGTAGCAGAGGTGGGGGGAGGGGCCGAAGAAAGCAAGGGGCACCCCACCCCACCCACCCCACCCACCCACCCCACCCCACCCACCCCACCCCACCCACCCCACCCCACCCCTCCCACCCCTCCCACCGATCCTCCCCCCAACCCTCCCCTCAACGCTCCTTTCACTCCTCCCGTCACCCCTCCACCCCTCTCCTTTCTGCTGCGTAAGGGCCAGAGGCTGAGAGCACAGCAGAGGAGGCTACACGGGGAACTGGGCCGCGTCAGGGGCGAGAGACGCGGGGCGACTCGACACTTCACAGCGGCCTTCATAGATGTGTACTGCTTCATTCATAGGAGCTCAATAACAGCACTTGCCCCACCAGTCTGTGGAGCTCCATGGGGGATGTTTGTGTCGGAGCTCGTGCTGTAGGCATAGACGACGCGCGACCGTGGATCCTCTATAGGGAGCGCTCGTCTGCTGTGGGTCGCATGGAGCTGCACGAGCGGACACCGCCGCAGCGATTCCCATACCGAGTCACGAGATAGGCGCTGGGAAACAATTGCGCTGAAGTGTGTTGCTGGGTGGATGAAGCGAGCACCACCATGGTGTGCTTGCCTTGTATGGTCAGTCGTGTGACTGATTATTATAATATATTAATTCACACCTGTGCACCGTGTCATGGCAGTTTCTCTGTTTTCCTTCATTGCATTTTTATTTCAGAAATATTTCACCTGCAAAATAGATTGAGTTTGAATATCTCATGCGAAAGGGTGCCCAGGGCATGTGGGGTCGTCCAATTGCACAGTGTTTAGCGCACATCACTACACACCCATGGACTAAATCCAGAGGCGAGTGACAAATGAATCAGTTCTGCCCCCCTCGCTTCACCAACCCGCACTAGTCGGCGTGGTGAAATATGGTAAAAAATCAACACGACCGACAGGGCATAGGGTGTCCATTATCCAGAAGGGCTTTACTTTATTATCACATCCACATCTAATTGTGGATTTGGTTATTTTTCTTTAGTTATCTTTGTTGTATAAATACAACTTGACAAGATGTCTACTGCTTCATTCTGGTACATTTACTGTTTTTCAGTGCATTTCAGCACTGGGTGTGTTTGTTGGATTTATTGTTTGTCGATTTTTCATTGAACTGACAAATGGTGTAACCTGGTCCCTTGGGTACCCAGGCCTTCCTATAGTATAACTCCAGGAATCGGCAGATTTTTATTTTATTGTACCAAGTAAGGACCACTGAGCTATATAGCTATTTTTCAAAAGCAACCTGGCCACAAATCATAGCTCAACGAAGTGGCTTATCACGTGGAAATTTGTAGCAGCCAAATACTGTAAACGCATATTTCTAAATGTGGAGGGAAAAAAACTCGAGGATCCAGAGAAAAACCCACGCCACCACGGGGAGAATATGCAAACTCCAAATATCCAGGCGTTGGGGTTGGAATCGAACCCACGACCTCCTGCATTCCAGGTGAAGGGGATAACTTGTTGCCACCACTGAGCCCCTTGTTAATCTGATGTGGTATACTGGTACAGCACCTGGTGGCCTCGGTCACTTTACTGACCTTTGCACCATTGTGTAGTCGGTTCAATTGAGTCGCAGACATACTCTTTGGAGGCAACAAATGTATTTATACCAACACGAAGGGGTAACTTCCCTTTTACCAGATAACAACCTATGGTGGTGGACCACCAGGCTATCTGCGCTAACACTCTGGGATAGCTACAACGAGCAGGACTCCAGCTTGAGTCCTGCCCATGTGTTGGTGACTCTTCACGGACGTTGAATGTAGATCTTTCAGAAGACAACAGCAAAGCTGAACCCCGGTCCCTCTGGGGACCCGGTTTATATGCTTACCAGTCGTGGCCGGCTCCGCCCTTGGCCACAACTACCTTCTCGATTCCTATTGCAAGATCTCGCCCTGACACGTGACTACCCACTAACCCCAACTTGTGGCCCCTGTGTAGAATTTACCCGTCATGTACCTTCCAGGGTCAAACAAAGTGCAATGGCCCACATTAACCTCATTCATGGCTGACACTTTCACACCCCTCCTATAGAGAACAGCACTGCACGCCACACGTGGTGCCACTCAGCGCCATGACTCAGCGCTCACCAAGCCCCACTAAGGCTGGTACTACACCCACATATATGGGGTGTCGGTGATGTAATTACATCGCACGCCGTGCCTCTCAGGCCGGCACTACACAGTGGCATTCCCGATGTCACTACATTACCCCCCCCCCCCCCCCCATTCGTAGCATTCAGCCGTCCTGGCTGTCAACTCCCCCTTAAAACTAACCAAGTGAATAAGTTCTAGATTTGAAGCTTTCGTGACTGCAAGGATCCATACTCTTTGGTTCTATTCGGTAAAGTCACGTAGGTAAAAAATAAAACAACAAAATTCATGACGTTTCGGCCACAACACAAGTGGCCTTCATCAGGTGAAGGGGACCGTACTGTCATGAGGACAGCGTTGGAGTGAAGACAGTCCAGCCCAGGTCGCGTCCTTTTAAGCTGTGTGGGAGGAAACAAAATACTTTGACAAAGGAATTAGCATAAAATGACCGTAACGCACAAGAGGACCGGCACGGGGGGGGGAGGGGGTGTTAAGTGGAACGTAGAGGACCGGCACGGGGCGGGAGTTTACAAATGTAGGTGTGAAGTGAAATAAGCTTCTATGAAAGTTTGGTATATCACTATTTGGATAAATACCATTGAAAATTAGTTTAATGTTTGGTATGATTTAGAACATCTTTCCAATGGTTGCTTAAGTGAATAAGGTGATAAAAAGCGAGTAAAAGTGACTAAACGCTATGTGTGCCTCAATAATTAACAATAACAAATAGCATATAAATACCCAAGCCCACCTATACAATATATACACTAGCTACAAATGTACAGAACAACACGAGAAAGTATAAAACGCGAATGCACGGAATCCCCTCCATCACCAACAACTCCCATCCTCACTGTGTAACAATACCCATAAGCACAACAAAGGCTAGGTTCAGCCAATAACCGATATGGCCTACTGAGTGTGACAAGCAACTGATGGTGTGGGAGTGTGTGTGCATGGGTGTCACAAAATCCGAAGAGTTTTTGAGCGAGTCCTCGTGGCTGGGTCTCCAGTGGAGGTGGGCTCACTCTCTCTGGAGGTCCCAGGGGGAATATGCAACTGTCCAGTCGAAGAGCAGTAGGCCGGGTCGACGGGTTCTCCTCTCCCGAATCAAGTGAAGACAGCGCAGGCGGCGGCTCGGGGGAAATCAGGCGCGCGGCACCTGAGGGAGGAAGCACACGACTCCGCTGAGGATCAACCTCAACGGGCACACATGCCAGCTCGCCGGACACATCTGTCCCTCGGCGCCCACAGTGTGGAGATGGAACAAACTCACAGGGAGCAATAAAGGGCTTAGGGCAAGAGGAGTGTACAAACCAACTCCGCCGCCCCAAGCGGATCTGGACACACTGCAGTCGAATGACCCGAATCACATCAACCAGCCCTCTCCAGGGTTTGAGCAAATTGGGCGATGTACCCAACGGTACCTGTGGACAGTGCAACCAAGCTCTGTCCCCAGAGCTTGGTTGCACTGAAGTACGGAAGCCCCTCAGCCATTCATTGGCCAATCGGCACAAATCAGAATTTACCCTGGAAGTCTCCCGCACTTCGCAGCACACGGAGTCAGAGATTTAAGATTTTGCCTTGTTGGGTGCGGCTTGTAACTGAACATGAATCAGGGGGTCGTGTTCTCGCTGACCTGATGACTCAACATGGAGGTCAGAGTCCTGTGCAGCCACCTCAACCATACCATCCGTCTGCGGATTGTGCGGTGACATGCGTACTTTCTTGGTTCACAACTAACGCACACCTCTTGCAATAATTTTGAAGAAAATGTTTTGCCCTGATTGTTCAGAAGACGTTCGGGAGCACTCTTGTCCATAATGTAGTGGGTAATAAACTGGAGGAAGCTTACTCTGAGGCAACACATTTATTATAACATTAACAGGTTATTACACAATGGGGTAATGGCCCCTTTCACCCGATACTCTATGGAGGTAGTCCCTCCAGACTAGCTTGCCTCTCACTGGCTATCACGGCATCTATACTGCTGGGGCTTGAGTCTTCCCTTGAGTCTTCACGGGTTATCAGCTGGAGCTTTCACTGGTACAAGCTCGAGCCGACCCTAGCCAGGGGTTCTGCTCTGCCCATTGGGCTCTTCTCTTCAGGGCTCCAGGATGCTCTTCAGTCTTCGGCCGGACAACAACTGCTGGGACCGCTCAGGGACCTGACTTATATATAGGCTCCTGGCTCACTCCGCCCCTGGCCACGCCTTCCTTCTAGGACCGTCTCCGAGGGTCTGGAGAATGACATCATCTCCCCAGCCCCCTTCCCGGGATCTGGGGTCCCGACCGTTGGCCACGATGCTCCCCCAGGGATTGCCTTGGCCAACGGCCCGTCATCATTAATCCAGCAGGTTCAGCCTCCCCTCTGCTCCCTACTGACACAAGCTAGTACTGACGGCTATGATTAGTGGCGATCATGTTCAACCATGCCACTACAATTACGTAGCCATTGAGGAATGCCTCAGTGATCTTTGCCGCCAACTGTTTGGGAAGCGGCCAGGCCACAGGCCATCATGAGAAATACTCGACTCCCACCAGAAAATATTTAGTCCCACAAGCGGCTTCTACCGCGTGCACTGCACACACCCCTTCAACAAATTGGCAGCATCCTCAGCCATGCCAGGCCAGAAGAAATCCGACTTACGTGTGGCCAATGCTAGTTTATGCACACCCAAGTGCAACAGACGCTCGTGCACCACCCAAATGACCTTACTCCGCAGGGCGGTGGGCACAACAATGTTGGAACATCGCATCTCTCCGCCCCAATGCATGAGCAATCCGCCTCTGAGAATGAAAGAGGCGACACCCCATCGATCCTCGCCCCCATCAGTCTCTTTGACACGGCATCGCAATTTAAGCAGGGAAGCGTCCTCAACCTGGAGGCGCCCCCATTCGTCGTGGTCCAATCCAATGACAGCATCACGCGCCACTGGATCCCCAGCCCCCTCAGATGTTACAACCTCGGCCGATGCCGTAAGGGTAGGGGGCGAGTTTTCGTTGCGCGGCTTACAGCGACCGGAGCCCGAAAAACTTGCGCAACTCTCGTTCGTGGGTAATCGCGACAGGGCGTCCGCGTTCGTGTGATGGGAGCCTTTGCGATAGGTAACCTGAAAAGAGTAGTCCTGGAGGACCTCCAACCAGCGTGAAAGTTCGCCAGATGGCTGGTCAACCTGCAGCGCGTACTGCAGCGCCGCGTGGTCCGAGCGCATCTCAAAGTCTCTCCCATACAAATATGGAAGATACTGTTGCAAGAAAAACACGATAGCTAACAGTTATCAGCGTGTGACACAGTACCGCTGTTCAGCCGGAGACAGCACTCTGCTTCCTTATGCGATAACACTCTCGACGCCATTGACAACTTGAAACAGAACAGCTCCAATGCCAGTGTTACTAGCATCTGTATCAAGGACAAACGGCAAGGAAAAGTCGGGGTAGTGGCAGGGAGGGGCGTTCACCAAGCCATCTTGGAGTGCAACAAATGCGGCCTCCTCATGGGTGGTGCCGATGTCACAAGTCGAGGAGACTGAAGTGCTGTGACAAAAGGGCCATTGCCTGAATCGTCTCTTACTATAAACATTTCATTTCAAAGCGGTGTTATCGAAGAAGTTTTTTTGGAAGATAAATAACATCGCTATGGGGGGAGGGGGACATAGCGGGATTGAGGGGGAGCGATTATGGGGGTTATAGAGGTGGGTGTTGAGTAAAATAGTATCAGTGTCTTGTGCTCGAGCCTAGGGGCTATGCCAAGGGGCTAGGACATTCGAATGAACGTCTCATCTTGCCACATGCTTTTTTTACTATCTCCATCAGTAACAAAATCAATCTACAAAGCAACGCTGCTTCTAAAATCGGTATAGTACTCTGAAGCATGTAAAAATGGTAATGTACTGTCAATCGTATTTTAACAGGAGCATTGTCTCTTTAAAGGTCACGGTTTTTGTTGTTGACATGAACTCT